AGCTGACTCATCAGAAAAGGCACTGACTCTGGGAAAGATTGAAGGCAAAAGCAGAGGATGAGATAGTTAGGTAGCATCACCAACTCAATAGACATGAATCTCAGCAAACTCTGGGAGACAGTGAAGGACAGACAAGCCTGGTATGCTGCAGTCTACGGGGTCCCAAAAAGTCGGACACAACTGAGCGACTAAACAATAACATACTACAACAAGGATGAATTTTTGAAAATAGTTTGCTAAGTGAAAGAAGTCAGACACAAAAGGTTATATATTGTATGATTCCATTTATACGAAAGGACCAGACTAGGCAAATCCTAGAGATAGAAAGGAGATTGGTGAGTTTCAGGGGCAGTGGGGAGAGGAGATGAGGATCAGGATGCTATGGGAATGGGGATTGTTCCCACAACAGTTATGGGTTTCCTTATGCCATGATGAAAAGGTTTTGGAACTAGATAGAGGTGATGGTTGCACAACACTGTAAGCTCACTAATTACCGCTGAATTGCTTACTTATTTTAATGGTCAATTTTATGCTATGTGAATTTCATTTTACTAAAAAAAATTTTTATAAGCAATTTGCTTGTTGTAGGAAAATCTAAACATAAAGGCATAAGTACAAAATTATCATTTCTTTTCCCAGCTGCTCATCTCCATGTCCAATCCCATCCCACAAATATACCTTCCCTTAACTGTTAATTTTTTTAATTTTTTTTTAAGTTAATGAGGGATGTCTTATAGGAAGGAAGTCTTTTATTTTTATTTTTTTATAATTGCATTTTATTTATTTTTGGGTGTCCTGGATCTTCGCTCCTGCACTTAGACTTTCTCTAGCAGCAGAGACTGGGGGCTACTCTCTAGTTGCTGCGCCCAGGCTTCTCATTGCAGTGATTTCTCTTGTTGTGGAACATGGGCTTTGGAGCTCACAGCCTTCGTAATTGTGGCATATGGGCTCAGAAGCTGCAGTTCCCAGGCGCTCTCAAGCACAGGCTCAGTAGTTGGGGCACATGGGCTTAGTTGCTTCACAGTACGTGGGATCTTTCTGGATCAGGGATCAAACTCATGTTTCCTGCAATGACAGGTGGATTCTTTACACTGAGCCACCAAGGAAACCCCCCCCTTAACTGTTTATATATATATAACTCTCTTTTTATATATATAAATATATAAACTCTCCAAACTAAAAAGCTTTATAGCACCCAGAGAGATACATATGTTTCCTTCTCGCCTGGAGGTTTTCTGAGGACTTTATACCCACGTGAGCCAATGGTTAGGTGATGGGAAACTCAATGGTGAATCAGACAGGCTGGAGGAATTAATTTTCTAGTAAGGGATGGGCAGTAAGCTTGGGAATGAATGTGATTTTCAGTTGTGGTAAACGCTGTGAAAAAATAAAAGTGGGTAAGATGGTAGAGAGTGATGTGGGTTGGTGGAGGGACAGGGTGACTAGGAGAGGTCTCTGAAGTGAATGACAACAGCTAGGGAGGTGAAGATCTAGGGAAAGAGAATTCAAGACAGAGGAAATAAAGCTAGATATCTTGGGATTTCTCTGGTGATCCAGTGGCTAAGGCTCCACCCTCCCAATGCAGAGGGCCCAGTTTCTATCCCTGGTCAGGGAACTGGATCCCACATGCTGCAGCGTAGAGTTCACATGATACAACTAAAGATTCCAAATGTTGCAACTCAGACCTGGCACAACCAAATAAACAAATAAAAATAAATATTTTTAAAAGCTATCTTTACATAAGTAAGACTGTATACTAAGAACGGTGATCCATTACATATTTATACACATATTAGATATCTTGCTTTCCCCCTTCTTTACTGTTTATTACACATGTATTTCCAAGTTGGCCTCATAGCTAAATGTTATCTCATAATATTGAGATACCATCACTTACTTATGGGCTTCCCAAGTGGCGCTGGTGGTAAAGAACCTGCCTGCCAATACAGGAGACACAGGAGATCTAGGTTTGATCCCGGGGTCAGAAAGATCCCCTGGAGAAGGAAATGGCAACTCCACTCTAGTATTCTTGTCTGGAGAATCCCAAGGGCAGAAGAGCCTGGTGGGCTACAGTCCATAGGGTTGCAAAGAGTCAGACATGAGTGAGGCGACTTAGCACATGCTACATACATCACTTACTTAGCCATTTCTCTCTTCATGGACATTTAGGTTGTCTCCAGTTTGGAGCTGTTGTTATTCCACAACATACTCTATATTCCAATTCCAGGGCCCTCAGGGTGATTCCTCTTGTTGTCAACTAACTTTGTGTGTGCATCACAGGGACTGCCAGGATGTCCTTGGAAAACCAATTCTTAGAGTTGAGAATCCTGTGCCTCAATAGCCTCAATGAGTATAAAAGGGCAGTATTGTCCCAGATTGCCTACTGATTTCCCTATTCATTCATCTAACATTTATTAAGAATGTTTTCTATGCCAGGCATTACACTGAGCATTATAAATATAAAGAAGATGAACAAAAGAGTCTAACCTCAAGTTGCTCAGTCTTAGCACAACGATAATTATCAAGACATTGTAAATCAATTATACCTCAATTTAAAAAAAGGAAAATATAAAAAAAGCTTCTCCCTCTTCTGCTTGGAGCAGTATCTCTACCCAGGCAGGTTAAGGCTTTTGAAAACCAATAGAGTGGATTTTTCCTGAATAATTATCCTATTCAGGGACAGTTAATGACATTAACTTTTCTAAGCTGCAGTCTTAGTAGTTTCTCCATCGCTAGGAAAAATACACCAAAGAAACTGCTGATTTAATTAGATGTGAAGAACTAACCTATCAGAGTGATCACCCAGTGCCCTCAGGGTGATTCCTCTTGAAGTGTGGTATCCGATGACACGGGGTTGGAGAAGGACACTGTGGTTCACTATTTGAGTCAGCTGCTTGTGTTGACATTTTCTTAGGAGCAGGTTGCCGAGAGCAAATCTTCACTGTGAGGGCACTTCAGGCACTTTATTTTGGATACATTGTATTTTCTTCTTCTTGTGACTCTGATTCAACAGCAAAGGTGGCCTCCTATATATGAAAGAAGGTCTGGTTTTTATATCAATCATTGATAAATTCTCTGTAAACCTGAGGACAATCCACTTAACACCAAGATTAAAGCGGAACATATAAGATTCAGTGGGATCTTCAGAGAACTATATTAATAGGCTGTAACCAGAACTTTGTATTAATGAGAGGAATAAATCCTCTGTTATGGGGGGAGGGGGGGAGGGAATTAAGGTCCAGAAAATTTCAGGGAACATGAACCACAGACCTGTCCAGAAGCTTAAATCCAGTCTCCTGATAATTGAGGTTTCTGGTTTCTTTACATTATAGGGCTCAATTTCCCAAGTGTTATGTGTTAAAGAAACAAAGCAACCAGCAAATTTGCTAATTTCATATTAAACATAATTTCAAACCACTTTAGAGTAGGATTCGTTCTCAAAGGTAACTGACAGCTTTGCTTTTGATTTGTCTCATTAGGCTGGGTTCTCTTTATCTTTAAAACAGACATTTAAAGTTAAAAATAAATCTAGATTTGGGATTTTCACATAAGGTTCTTAAGAAACATTCTGTGTTCCCGCTTGTACACCGTAATTTCTATTGAGCTGGTTAGTTGCACTCTGTCTAGACTTCTTGGAGAAAAACATCAACAATATGTTTTTCTCGGTCTTGGGCTCCGCAAGGGTGAATTACAGGAAAACTTAACAGGTACCTTCCTACTTGAAGCAGTTGGATCTATATATTTATCTTTTGCTTTTTCCCCCCTTTCCCATTTTTACCAAACGGCAACTGGCGGCAGTCAATAAAGTACTTCGGGAAAAAAAACTTCGGCCATTCAAAATAAAACCACTTCACCGGAAGGTGTATAATGAAGCACAAAAATAACCCTGTTAGGTGGGACTAGCTGGTTACATCATGCAATATGGTAATCCTCTATTTAATTTACAAAGCCCTTGGCCGAGAGGAGGAAGGGATGGAAAAGTTTGAGTGAAGGCTTTAAAGGACTAGTCATACAGACAGTGAGTCACTGTAAGTTTCCAGTTAATAATCCCCTCTACCGGGCTGGGCTTTATGAGCCACAAAACAGTTTAAGTGGTAATGGCTCACAGTTTTATGGTATCTTCTACCAAATGAATACAGAAAATGAAAGACGCCCTGAGTCGTCTTTGAAATGTAGGGCAAATTCTGACTGGGGGCAGGGAGGAGGAAGGTGGAAAGAAAGAGAACGAGGTAGGATGTCTGTGAGGCAGGGAACGCAGGGGGCTGGTGAAACGAGAAGGGAACGATTTTCAGGAGTTTATGGCTTCTCTCTCCACCTTGGAACTGCTGTTCATTTTCCCGCGTTCCGTGCAGAACAGGACGGAACTGGCCACTCCCGCGACCTGAGAGGCTCGCGGTCCGCCACCCCGCTCAGAGTCGCGCCAGGGCTCGCTCCCACCCCCGCCCCCACTCGGTGACAGGTGGGGCAGCCGTGCGGCAACCAGACCTCCGCCTCCTCGCGCTGCCTGCCGGGAGCTGGCGCCGCTTCCGGTTGCTCTCGGCCCCGAACTCCGACTCCCGTCGGCCCCCGGGAAAACCGCAGCGGGGTCGCGCGGGCGCTGCCGGAACTCGTAGTTCCGCCTTCTGCAGCGCTTCATAAGCGGAAACGGGGTCGCCCGGGGCCGAGAACTACCGAGGCGAAGGTACGGGTGGCGGCGAGGGGTCAATTCGCGCCGGGCGTGGGGTTGGCGCTGAGACGGTCGGAGGTGGTTGGGGCTGGGTGGGAGGAGATCAGCGCGCACACACGAGGAGGGTTGAGTCGCCGCCGCCGCCGCCGCCGTCGTCGCGAGTGCGGAGTCGGGACTTGAGCTGCCCCGGCGACGACACCGGGAATTGTGCCGCTAGCCCCCGGCCCTTCTGCCTTGCCGCTTTCCTGGGTCAGCGCGGCCTGCTCCTCCCCAGCCCGTCGCCCCCGCCTCCATTTCCCGCCCTCTCTTCACCACACACACGGCCCCCCCGATCATGGATCCCGGCAGTGGTGGCGGTGGTGGTGGCGGCGGCGGCGGCGGGAGCAGCAGCAGCAGCGACTCGGCGCCCGACTGCTGGGACCAGGCGGACATGGAAGCCCCCGGACCGGGCCCGTGCGGCGGCGCCGGCGGCCCCTTGGCGGCGGCGCCGGCGGCCGAGGCCCAGCGTGAGCACCTCAGCGCGGCCTTCAGCCGGCAACTCAACGTCAACGCCAAGCCCTTCGTGCCCAACGTCCACGCCGCCGAGTTCGTGCCGTCCTTCCTGCGGGGCCCGGCTCAGTCGCCGGCATCCCCAGCTGGCGCCGCCGCCAACAACCACGGAGCCGGCAGCGGCGCGGGAGGCCCTTCGGGTAAAGGGCCGGGACGCGGATCAGCCCCCGGAACGGGAGGAAGCCGTGCTGCGAGGGCTGGGGCAGCTGGCTTGGGGGCCGGAGCCCACCTGGGACGGGGCCCGGGGTGGGGTCGGGGGCGCGCCTCGCCCGGCGGGGGACGCGTGGCCGTGGGGCCGGGAGGCACGTGGGGCGCTGACAGCGGCGCCGGCTGTCCTGGGTGGGGCGACCCGGGGCCGGGGAGGCGGCCTGCGTGGGGCGACCGCAGCGGGGGGGCGGTGGGAGCAGGGTGCGGGGCGCACCGGTGGGGCCTGGGGTCCGCCTCTCACCGCCCCCCGCAGGGGCGCAGTTCCCCGCTGGGAAGTGGGAACCGTATGGGACGGAGAGGGGCTCAGTGCCACGAGGCCTAGAAGCCAGGACAGATGGAGCCAGGAGTCGGCCGGATGGGTGTTGAGAGCGCTGAGGAGTTGGGGCGGACGAAAGCTCGCGTTTTCCCTTCACCTTGGGCCTAGGAGAGAGAGCTTCCCCCGCTGCAATGCCTGTTATCGAAAGTGTAATTACGTTTTAAATGTCCACGGACCCGAACAGTCCCGAAGGAATCCCAGGATGCATTGCAGCCCTGACACCGGGCCGAAACTGTTGGCTGTCAATAGATCCTTAGCATTTTGTAAGGTTGTGAAGTTACCAGAGTGTCCCAAAGTTAGAGCTCTTCACTTAACATTCAATTGTGTAGGAAATGACGTTGATCTGTGTGCCCTTTTTAAAGCGGGCCTTGGATTCTTCCCCTTAGTTGATGACACGTTTAGAATTTTTATTGCGTTAAAAATCGTTTGTCTCATTCAGGTTGCTTGGTGTAACTCATTCTCTGTGTTCTTGTGTCAGGAGTTAGTCTGTTCAGACACCTGAGCATTTGTTAAAACTTCTCAGGAGTCATATGCAGTTTTGACCATGGCTAGTCGAGTGACTTTCTGTGACTTCAAGTTAAGTCTTCAAAAATCTCCCTGTACTTAGGGGATGCTTAAGTGATAGCATGCTTTCAGGTACTGATTTTGTAGGAACGTCAAGTGAGTGAACTTGATTCCTCTCTGAAGTTCTTTGTTGTCCTATTTCTTGAATAGGTAGATATTGTAAAAGTGCTCTAGGAGTTTAGTTTCTTCAAAAACTTTGCCTGCAGTTTTCTCTCTCAAGGCAAAAAGCGAGTTTGGGAAAATGCTTTTGGGCACACAGTTAGACTTAGTTATTTTATTGACTGGTATTTCTTTTACTTGTGTGAAGCCATTGATGTTTTCTCTTTAAACAGATGTTTTCCCTTTAAACAGAACCTTAACTTTGCTTACTCCTTTGGTCTACATAAACTCGTTCAATTACCAACTCCTAAAAGTGCCTGTTTCCCCAAACCTTATCATGCAGTTTGCTCTTATCGGCCATTTTCTTTTTTGACCCTCCCTTATAAATCAGGAGTTACTAGTATCACTGTGACTAGACCTCGGACTCCAATTCCAGCCTATGTAGCCATCAGCCAGTCATCAAGGGATGACAATACTTAGAGCAGTGGTCTGGAAGGGTGGTCATTCTTGAATGAGTAGGCATTGCCTCTTATGAAGGACTGTCTTTTCTCTTCCTGATATTTATTTGCTGATTTGAAGTTTTACTCTTAATCCTTTCCTCTGTGACACTGACAGAAGTTGGGATGTAGAATGTGTAGAGAAGTAGTTGTGCCTACCTTAGGAATCCCTACATTATGGTCAGTTTTTTCTTTCCTTTTTTTTAAATCAGAAACCTATTTTGGTGTTACTAACTCTTACTGGCTGTTTCTACAAAATGCCAGAACAACAACTCATCCGTCCTCTGTAGGATGTCTATTTGGGAAAGAATGGATGGTCCCGAGTTAATGTGGCACTGTTGGATTGCATGTTCCAGCATATATTCAGGCCCATAGATTATACCAGCATAAGAGCAAAGAACTGTGTTTGGAAGAAGCAGGGAGAACACTGAAATGGCACTTAGGTTGAAATTTGTGAAGGGGAAGCCCATAAAGTGTGCAGGTATTTTTTAGTGAGGAAATCAACTGTAGGGCTAGCATGTTTTCTTCTGTTACTAAGTCATAGCTAAAACTGGTGGTGGATGTGTTTTTAAACTGGATAGCAGGAGAGCTCTTGAAGGAGTCTAGCGACAGAGCACTGTCAGGAACGACTGTATTTCGTTATTTATGGCTGTGCTGGGTCTTTTCTCCTGCGTACGGGCCTTCTCTTGTTGTGGAGCGGGGCCTCTAGGTCAGGCTCAGTAGTTCTGGTGCAAGGACTTACTTGCTCCACCGCTTGTGGGGTCTTCCTGGACCAGGGATTGAACCCAGGTCATCTGCATTGGCAGGCAGATTCTTAAGTACAGGATCACCAGGGAAGCCCTAGAATTAACAGCTTTTAAAATGTGTGTAGGATGAATATCTGTCATTCTCCTGAAAGAAGGCTAGTTTTCTCTTTTTCTCTCTTCCTTTTTTTTTTTCACAGTGGTACTTGGAGCAACTGGTAAGGGGAGATCACAAAAAGTCATCCACTTTCACTGGTAGGCTGCTGGTTAATCCTTATATGCAGCTATAGGATATCCTGAGTCACAGCTTGGGATTCAGTGTTGACCTTGGATCTCTGAAAGTTTTTAACATAAGTTTCCAAAGAAATGATTAAGTAGAACCCATGTAAGTGTAATTACATGTAATTCGTTTAAGTACTGTTCTCTCCAGATCCAAGTAAAATGGCTAAGTAATGGTCATTTAGAGTCCTTCAGATGAATGAAAATGTAGACAAGTGTTGTATGTGCCAGAACAAACATTTTCTATAATCGAATGTACTTATTTTCAGTTCCAATTTGCACCAAGTTCAGGCTTTTTTTTTGTTCAATGAGAAGCAAGTTCAGCAGTGTTCATCAGGATTGCTTGGTGTCTTGGTCTGTTTGGGCTGCTATAACAAAATACTATAGACTTGGTAGCTTGTAAACAACAGAAGTTTATTGCTCACAGTCTGGAGCCTGGAAGTCTGAGATCAGGGTGCCAGCCTGGTTGGGTGAGTACTCTTTCCTCTTCTGGATAACAGACTGCTGACTGACTGCTTTCTGTGTCCTCCCAGGGCTGAAGAGGCAAGAGAGTTCTCTGGGGGCCTCTTTCATAAAGGCACTAATCCCATTCATGAAGGCTCTGCCTTCATGGTCTAAGGCCACCCAAAGACCCCACCTGATACCATTACTTTGGGCATTAGGATTTCAACATAGGAATTTGGGGAGGAACACAAACCAGGCCATAGAACTTGGCCAGAGCTTCTAAAGTAATGGATGGAATTCTATCATCCCTCCCTCATTGTCTCTCAAAACTGCCATTGTGAAATGGATATGGAATAAAACCAGCAGTCCTCAGTAAATCCTTGTTGTTTAGTCACTAAGTCATGTCCAACTCTTTGCGACCCTGTGGACTGTAACCTGCCAGGCTCCTCTATCCATGGGATTTCCCAGGCAAGAATACTGGAGTGGGTTACCATTTCTTTCTCCAGGGAATCCAAGAACAAACCCATGTCTCCTGCATTGGCAGGCGGATTCTTTCCTGCTGATCCACCAGGAAAGCTAGTTAGCCCTTAGAAGGGGATTAAGTCGCTTGGTGGATGCTGCTCTTCGCCGGATTTTCCCGAAGGTGACTGACCTCTTCTGGGCCACCAGAGTAGAGGAGATGCAGACTCAAAGTGACAGGCGCTTTGTCCCGCTGGGCTCTTGCACTGTATGTTAAAGAACACCATTTGACTGGTAGTTAAGTTTAAAGAGACGGTAGATACGGTTGCCCCGAGACATGTGTTTTCCTTTTGACTGAATGTCTGCAATAACAATTCTAATAGAAAAGACTTTTCAGCTGAGACAGTGAATGGGAGAAGTGGGCTGAGGAGATCAGGGAAAGTATTGTTCCTGGAGTATTATTTCTTTTCCTACCTGTCATACTGATAATTAGAGATCATTCCATTTTGGCTCTTGTTTCATGATTTTACATGTGGAGTGGCCCAGATGTGGGGGTTCAGGGAACAAGTGAGGGCATCCACTAGGGCTGCACCATGTTGAGCAGCCGTTTCAGCTGTTATTTGGTTTTTTATTTATTTGGCCACGTTGCCGCATGTGGGGTCTTAGTTCCCCCTGCAGTGGAAGCATGGAGTCCTGACCACTGCACTGTTGGGGGATTCCCATGGGAATTTTAGAGCAGCTTTTATTCACTGCTGTTTTTTTTTCTTTTGTTTATTTTTTGCTTTTTTTCTGGAATTGTACTGCATGACAAGATGATGAAAACATATCATGGAGTGTTGGGAAATATTGTAGAGAACATATTTTAAGCCTTGTTTTGTTTGCTGGGGAGGAAACGTCTTAAAGTGTTAAAATAGTGTTGTCTTTCTGATTGGAGAGGAAGGAATGAAAAAGAGATTTGATTATCTTTCCTGGTGAGTTAGCTGTATTGGAATGGAATTTTTGGAGATGTGAATCTCTGGTTTTGCTCAGGTATGTGAATGGCAGTTAATGAACAGACATTGCCTGCCTGCAGAAGGCAGGATGCTGTGCTAGGCACTCAAAGTGATACCACCAAGATGGATAACTGATTCTCAGAAAGGGATCAGATACCCAGTCTACTCTAATGGAAGACCCTTCATGGTTAGAGGGCCATACACAGAGTGCAGAGAGAGGGCTTTCAAAGCTGAGAAGCACTGCTCACAGGTCCCCTTATATAAATAATTTCACTCGTGTCACCCTAATCATAAAACCACAGATCTGTTTTCTGCTGAGTGTTCTCTGTGAATATCCGAGGTATAATTAACATAAAATTCACCTTTCTTGTGTTTCTGAACTTCAAGTTTCCTAGGAATTTGCCAGAATACCAGTCATCTTTACTTGTAAGTAAGTGTTAGTCGCTCAGTCATGTCCGACTCTTTTCGACTCCATTGACCGTAGCCTGCCAGGCTCTTCCATCCCTGGGATTTTCCGGGCAAGAATACTGGAGTGGGTTG